TGATAACGTGAATACTTTTAGAGCAATTGAGCCTCAAAGTTGGATTTTAGTTAAAATTTAGTCAAAAACTTCAAACTCGATTTTCTCAAAAACCGTAAATGCCAGCGACTTCGAAAATCTTCGACGGGTTTTGAGAAAGTTGAATTTGAAAATTTTGAAATTGAAATCTAAAGGGGTTTAAGCCTTTGAAAAAATCTAAATTTTTATTTTTCATATTTTTTGACTTTTGACTTTTCCAATCGATAGAGCGGATCTAAATCTAAAATTCACAAAATTATTAGCTTTTGGAAGAAAAATTTAAAACGTAGCAACCCTAGTCGAAAAATGTAATAACCCTAACGCAATTTAACGTTTCAAAGTAGGCCCTGTAGTTTTTGACAGTTAATTTAAAATGGCTGGGTTGTTTCCAAGACCTACTTGATTTGATAAATTTTTTGCTTACAGTTATCTGTGTTACCGGCATCGATTAAAACCTGGGCTGGGATCACGACAAGTAGAATTCCACTAGAATTCTACTTTCTTGACGTCAGGTTGCCTAGCAACAGTGATCATCGCCTGTAGTATACGCGATAAATAGGTCGCGGGTGACGTCATGAAAATAGAATTCTACTAGTCATGATCCCAGTCCAGGATTGCTTCAAGGTTCACTTAGTTTTTGATAAGTAGTAATCTTATCGCTTGTCATAAATGATATTTGACATTTTGTCCAACAGTGTTGCCGATGTTTATATAATTACTGTTATGGAAAATTTGAAATTTGCAAGGCCTACTTGGGCTTTTTTTTTGTATAAATTCGAGCCTCAATGATTGACACAGTATTTATTATAAGTTGTAGTTAGCAACACTGTTTGACAAGGGACAAAGTAGGCATTGCAAAATTTTAAAATTTAAATATGGCGCCCTGTAATACCGACATTGCAATACATACATGTTTCCAAAGCCTAATTGGTTTGATATAAGCCCGTAAGGCGAGAATTTTCCTGAAAAATCAACTTTCAAGATTTCTGGTGATTTTTTTTTTTTAAATCTGGTGATTTTTCATTCCAATTTCTGGCGAATTTAATTTTTTTGACCTGGCAACAGTGACTTCGGCAGTAGCAAATGGGTTGTCGATGGTATGGGTACCTGCTACATAAGGTTGTGTAGAGCAAATCAAGAGATACGACATTTGAATTGGTGTACCAGAAATATGTAGAATATGTTCAAAGACCCTTTGGGAGCAATGTTATAGTGGTTTTTGATAGATATCCTATTGGCATATGTTACCAAAGCAGTGAAACGATATCGACGATCTTTGCTGCACTCCAGCGTCAAAGTCTATGTTTTCCAAAGTTATAGGGCAAAAACCTGCATTTCTATGCTATTTCTGATAATCTGAGAAATTACTTAGATTTTTGAAGCACTACATAATATCTCAGTATCAGTAACTATTGGATCGAATACTTTTTTTGGCCAGTGAAATTTAAAGGAAATTTGAAGTAACTTTGTTGAGAAGTTATAAGCAAAAAACGGGAAGAATCCGAAAATTTCAAGGTTTTAGTTGCGGTTAACGCGAATAATAATTCAGGTGCACAATAGACATATATCCTCTGTGGGTGCACCTGAAAGAGATGAGGATAAAATATGTTTATCCCATGCTTGGTTTCAATTGTGGTCGGCCGGAAGAAATTTTTGACAAGTTGAGAATTTTTTTGTATCTTTGAACCACTGTTTATTGGTTACTATTGCGTTAAATAACACGTTTGACTAGCGAAATTTGAAGGAAACTTAATGTTCTTCAACTTTATAATTAGGTGTATTCCGCTTAAAAAATATAAGCAGAAAACTGAAAAAGGCCGAAAATTTCGTGGTTTTCGACTCCCCCCGAGCTAGCACAGGGTTCCCAAGGTCGAAAACTCAGATTTTACTTTACAGAGCACTCACAAATGACATGCCAAAATACCTATCATTAACTTCAGAAAGCAGAAAATTCTTGCCTGCTGGACTAATTATATTTATATAATCGAAAATCATAAAAAGCTCATATACAAAACCATTGCGGAAAGCAGAATAAGATACGGCTCAGAAGTGTGACCAATAATTGACAATAACAAGACCAAAAAAATTGTATGTGCTACCGGAATGGATTGCTGGAGACGAGCAGGAGCAGATAGACATTACGACAAATAACGTTGAAAACGTAGAATTAAAATAACTGAACGGGCACGTAAAATAAATGGGAAACGGGAAACGATGGAGTACAAAAACGAATCCTACAATGGCGCCCATCCGGAATAAGGAGACAGGGAAAACCTAGAAAAATCTGGAGAGAAGGCGAAGATACTGAAATTCGTAAGAGACGCTAGATAAGGATTTGTGAGCAGTGAAAATTGGGAGTCGGGAATCTGAGAACGTTGTAAAACCGATTTATATATAAAAAACTGCCAATAGGCGTCTAAAAAACATACCTACCTAATTTGCACAAATTTTCAAAAGCTCTAAATTGAGGTTAACACGAATTCGCTCGCGGAAACTTGGAGGTAAAGGGTAAACCTACGAAGATCTAGACCCAACTCAAATAGGAACAAATGGACCTTGGACCTGCTCTATAGGAACTTTAAAAAAAAAAATAGTTACCGGAGATTTCTAGTAGCGAATTCTTGAGAAAAATTACAAAAGGCATAAAAAGCTAGATGAGTGGCTCGTGATACGGATCAAAGCTCGAAGAGTTTGAATCCGACAGTAAAGCGATCAAACTTAAAGTGATGTACCTAGGTGGTTTTGCCAATAATTAAGTTTAACTTGATAGTTTTTCGTGTTGCAGTAGTTTTTGTCGCGGTTTTTGTTGGTTGCCTCGAATAAAATTCATTGAATTCTTTTATATCAGCTATTTACAAAACCGCTCTAGTGACAATTTTGATATTGAATACTACTAACTGAGAATAACGCCCCTAATCCTGATTAGCCATGTAAACAATGCTTGCATTATCAAAAATATCAAATTTCTTAGATTTTTATATTAAATCGTCGACCTATGTTATATAGGTATTTCACGTGTTGTAATAAGCTGCTTACTGCACTAGTATGACCACGACTTGGTCTTTACGACGCCGTTGTGGCACTATTCGCCACTTGACACTTGTAACTCTAATAACGCTGATAACCCAAAAAACTAACCAAGAGTATCTTTCTCTTCGTTCGGTTCAGTTTAAAAATTCCGGCTTTTCAAAGTTTGAGCTTTTTATGAGTTTAAATGGATGGGTGCCTTTCCCGCATCCACAATATTATTCAACGATATCAAGTCCCAATAATCCCTTTGTATTGACAAATATTTGATAATTGCCTTCTTATGATAGTTATTTATGTATCAAGAGAATTATGAGGGTGTTAATACCCCTTCGGCCCGAGGGACACCAATTGCCCGATAATTCCCGTGGTACATAGATAATTTTATTTCCTACTGAATTTACCGTATTTTGTCCATTTTTATAATAGACTGTGAGATAGGGGCTGTTTAGTGGAGTCATTTTTTTTTGTCTGGCATTTTGAGGGCTGAATGTGGCTACTAAGCTGATGAGAATATGGGTGATTTAAATGCCTGCCCCCCGTTCGAAAATTTGCAGAAGAAAAAAATTGATTTACATGAAGATTTTTTTTTTAATGATCTCAAATTTTTTGGCTTCTAAATAAAAGATCGACATTGATTAATAGTTCACCCATAAAAAATACCAGATGCTTTTCAATAGCTGAAAAAGTGGGGATGAGTGTCAACTTCTAAGAGAAAAGAAAAGAACCTTTTGCGTTTACTTTTTGTCTGGTAATCGAAAGAATGGAAGGTTTTGTTGTGAAAATAACGCTGAAAAATCGCCAGACGGTAATCACAGTTCGAAGTCGAGTTTTCCGGCGAAACATTCTGTGGACATTTCGGACAGGTGGCAGGCATTAAAACCACCTATATTCTCATCAGCTAACTAGTCACATTCATCCCTCAAAATGCCAGACAAAAAAAATTACTCCACTAAACAGGCCCTATCTCAGGGTCTATAAAGGAATAAACCATAAACCAAAATTTCTATTTTTTGTCAAAATTCCACCTAGTTAAAAGCGGGAGTTATGGAAATCCTTAACTCCCTTGGGAGTTATGATATCCTTAACTCTCTTGGGAGATACGACCCTGTTTATGATTATCGCAACGAAGGTATTATATGGTTATAATAATTTTATTTCCTACTGAACTATTATAACCATATAATACCTTGGTTACGATAATCATAAACAGTGTCTAAACTCCCAAGGGAGTTAAGGATTTCATAACTCCCGCACGGGAGTTAAGGATATCATAACTCCCAAGGGAGTTAAGGATTTCCATAGCTCCCGCTTTTACCTTGAATAGGTGAAACTTTGACAAAAAATAGAAATTTTGGTTTATGGTTTATTTCTTTGTAAAAATGGACAAAATACAGTAAATTCAGTAGGAAATAAAATTATCTATGTACCACGGGAATTATCAGGTGTTAATACCCACGGGCAATTGGTGTCCCTCGATACATAAATAACTATTATTTCCTACTGAACTATTATAACCATATAATACCTTGGTTACAATAATCATAAATAGGGTCTTAACTCCCAAGGGAGTTAAGGATTTCCATGAATCCCGCTTTTACCTTGAATAGGTGAAACTTTGACAAAAAATAGAAATTTTGGTTTATGGTTTATTCCTTTATAAAAATGGACAAAATACAGTAAATTCAATAGGAAATAAAATTATCTATGTACCACGGGAATTATCAGGTGTTAATACCCACGGGCAATTGGCAACAAACTTTGCCCTGGGGTATTAACACCCTCATAATTCCCTTGATACATAAATAACTATAATTTTCAATTTAGTTTAAAGTATTTTTATGAATAGAAAAAATTAAGAATTTTTCTAACAATGAAAAATAATCAAATCATGGTTCACGATTGTTCTTGGAACTTACCTAAAAATCAAACATTCAAAGCACGAATATACTAACCTTTAAAGCATTAAGAACTGAATCACAAACTCACAAATTATCGCGCCCACTTAACAACACAATTCAACAAACTATACTGAGCTGAGAAAAGACTAAAAATTGAAAATTTATATTTATAGTAGTGATAACGCTTTTTTTCAAAGCACATGCTCATTTACACATTGGTTTGTTGTTTCAAGGGGACGAGAAAATATTATGAGCATATATTTGATGGAAGGAGGAGAGCGAGATGAAAATTTATTATTATTATTATTATGTGGGTGGTGTGTGATTTGCACCAACGAAAAATTATTCACTTGCTCAAAATTTATGCGCAATAACTGTATGGTAAAATAATATTATTTAATCTATTTTGTGTTGGAAAAAACTACGCCGTGAAGTTATCCGACCATCTGAAAAGTCACTTTTGGGCTTAATTTACCAAAGGAAGGATCTGACAAAGTTTTTTGGCATCAGAAATGAGTTTTTAGAGAATAGAATACATTTCAGCATCATACACTTTTGACCAATTTAATAGAGGCTTGAAATTTAGTTTTAACTTGCTTATTATAAAATTATGGTTAGAAGCAAATTAGGCATAAGGCACCTGACGAAGCTGCATTTCCAGAGGTTAGAAATTATTAGCAAAACTCCTGACGGAAGAGTTGGAATGTAAGTATTGCAATAGTATTAGCTCGTCGTTCAAGCTCCAGTTGCTCATTTAAAAATAAGTTACCAGGGCGGCACGAGAAAGAGCTGACTGACCATTCCAAAAATTGTGGAATTTATTTTATGTCTCGAGAATCGCAACGAAATGTTTTCGATTTTGCAGAAACCATCCTCTTATTGGAGAATAATTATTACTCGATCTATTATGTTATTACGCTTTTTATGAAATACAAATCAAATAGGTATTCAGATCTTTAGTTTGAAAAATGAAGACGTAGCAAAAATGTTCTCTCATCAGGTGTTTGATATTTCCCCGCTTTCCCCTCCAACATATTAAATGCAACATTGATTATTATGGTTATTTCACACATGCGGTTGGCAAGTGTTTCTATGTCCTGATAACAATTTTGTATTTCAACAAATAACAAATAATAACTAATCGAATACAAGAGAAGCCTATTGATGCCCATTCAATAACCTTATCATCAAGAGAAAAATACAAATATTGACACACACACATTTTGTTGTTTGAAGTTTAACCTCAATCCTCATCAAATTAGCTTTTTTCCTGCTTCAACCATTAAAATCTAAACGACAATGCATCACAATAAATCATTAAATTATGATGATTTATGAAAATTAACCGGTGCTTTATTGAATGCAAATAAATATTTGAAAAATCTATTTCTCTAAGCTCACCTACCATCGTTACCTTTGGGACGCATTTTCAAAACTTTGACAGATACCGATCCAATTATTTACTCAAAAGACTACTAACGCGATTACATTAGTTATTCATGTACCAAGGGCGCAATTGGTGTCTGTTTTTTCTTGTTTCGATGAAAATAATCAACAAGTAATGATGTATTATTGTGCATCGTTTTCATTTTAAAACGTAGGTAGTCAATTTTGAATGATTTTTATTCGGTAATAAATTACTGGCTATAATTGAATATATTCCTGGAAAAAACTAGTTATGGTAATAGCTTAAAGATTTCCACTAGGTACTTGGCTTTAATTAATTTCAGTAGTTTTTTTCCTCGCTAGGTTTACTGTATGTATAACTCGAAAGTTACCTGAGGTTGGAACATGAAATTTATAGGGGGTGAAGGGTCATGAATTTTCAAATCTTTCACATAAGTACCTAGGATTATCGACTTTATAATCTAAATAGACGGTCCAGTCACAAGGGGTTTTATATTAGTCTAGGAAAATTGTCGATTTCCAAAAAAAAATCCTACCCAAAAGAACTTTTCAGGGATGATAGGGGGAGGGTGGGTGATCATAAAACCGAAAATATCAAACATTCACCCCTCTGGCGTTTTGCGCTATAGGGGTTGAAAGTGCGCCATTGGCGATTACTTGGTACCTATTGATTTTACAAAAAAATGTTTTAAATAAAAGATGTGCAACATTATTTGATCTACAATGTTTATACAAAGACTTTTTTGATTAAGGGCCGTCTGTGGTCATAAGGGCCGTTTGAAATTTTATAATGAAAATGAAAAATTTTAACCAACGTGAAAAAAATTTCTACAACTCATACAATATTTTTGCCTTATGAAGTTTTTACTCACCCCCTGCCGTTTTTCAATAGGGGTAGTTTTAAGTTTTTTTATTTTTTTACAAAAAAATTTTCTTAATAAAAGTTTTATAAGATGACATTTCCTACAATTTTTCCTGATCAACTTTTTTTGTAACTCACCCCCATTCAGCGGGGGGACACTTCCCTCGGGGAAATTTTTAGGGGTATATATTAATTTTTTTTTCTTTTCTCGCCTTTAGTGCATTTAAAAAGTTGCAATTAACATTGTATTAAAAGGATTTTTTTTTTCACCACCTTTTTGTTTTTAGGGGTAGTTCGCCTATTTTCAACTTTACAAAAAAAAATTATTAAGAAAACTTGTTCATTTTATTATTCTGAGCAACTTTTCTCTATAACTTTTTTTTGCAGTTGTTGAAAATAGGCGAACTACCCCTAAAAACAAAAAGGTGGTGGAAAAAAAATCCTTTAAGTACAATGTTAATTGCACTTTTTTATATGCACTAAAGGCGAGCAAAAAAAAAAAAAAAATTAATATATACCCCTAAAAACTAAAATATCCCTAAGGGAAGTGTCCCCCCGCTGAATGGGGGTGAGTTACAAAAAAAGTTGATTGGGAAAAATTGTAGGAAATGTAATCTTATAAAACTTTTATAAAGAATTTTTTTTTTGTGAAAAAATAAATAAACTTTAAACTACCCCTATTGAAAAACGGCAGGGGGTGAGTGAAAACTTCATAAAGCAAAAATGTTGTATGTGTTGTAGAAAAATTTTTCACGTTGGTTAAAATTTTTCATTTTCATTATAAAATTTCAAACGGCCCTTATAACAACAGACGGCCCTTAATCAAAAAGGTCTTCAGATAAACATTATAGATCAAATAATGTTGCACATCTTTTATTTGAAACATTTTTTTGTAAAATCAATAGGTACCAAGTAATCGCCAATAGCGCACTTTCAACCCCTATAGCGCTTAACGCCAGAGGGGTGAATGTTTGATATTTTGGGTTTTATGATCACCCGCTCGCCCCCTATCATCCCTGAAAAGTTCATTTGGGTAGGATTTTTTTTTTTTGCAATACATGTATTTTTCGACTATTTTCCTAGACTATATTTAGGGTAGAAAATGTTTTTGCTAGTATAGTATATATATATATATATATATATATATATATATATATATATATATATATATATATATATATATATATATATATATAAAATATATATATATAGATATGTAAACCAATAATTAATTAATAATAACCAATAAACAAATAATTGATAAAATATTTTTGGGCGTTTTTTAGAAATCACCCTGTATTTCATAAACTAAAGAGAATTTGGCAACACTATAAACGAGTCTTGAATGGGCAACAAAAAAGGCAGCTTTTTTCTAATTTATCCGCCGTTGTAGCTCTTACCGTTTCGGATATAGCAATAGTGGTATCACTTAAAATATACACCCTGTATATATATATATATATATATATACACTCCTGGACATAAAAAACCGGACAAACAAAATTTTGTTAAATTTCAATCCTAAATAATTTTTTCAAGTTTGCATGGAAATTGATCATTTTTTGTCAAATGGTATGTGCGTTTATCTTGATCATTATTTAATATTGTGTTTGCAAAAAGTTCGAATGGATTTGGTGCTATACAGGCTGGAACCATGCGTTGCATTTGGTCTCAAACTACTGAATACTCTGTGGAATAATTCAACGACACAATCATGCGTATTTACAGGACATTCTTAAGCGTTATCATTTCTTAACATGTCGTTTTTTGATTCATATCAATATCTTCAATCGCAAAGGAAGCACAAGTTTTTAGAGTAGTAATGCAATTTATACCAATAACAAAAACGAAAAACATTACAGATAACTTTAACAAATAAGCAAACACTAATATTGGGTATTACCTCCACGTGCTCTAATAACTGCTGCCATGCGACGTGGTAAGCTCTCAATACAATTGGCAATAGCCCTTTGCAGAATGTTCACCCACTCTTCGAGAAGAGCTCTTCGAAGATCTGGAATGGTTTCCGGTTGTCGATTGCGAATTAGCCTCCCTAACATGACTCACACATGCTCAATCGGGTTCAGATCAGGGATACGTAGAGGCCAGTCCAATCGTTGAATCCTTGCTTCATCAAGATATTCACTGACAACTCTTGCGACATGAGGCCTGGCATTGTCGTGCATCAAAGAATAATTTTCACCAACGAATGGAGTAAAAGGAATAACGGTGACCGCTTAACATTCCTCAATATAACGGTTAGCAGTTAAAGCACCATTTTCGATAAAAACCAGGGCAGTACGGGCGCGGGCGTGAGGTGAAATTCCAGCCGACACCATGATATTACCGCCTCCAGAAGGTGTTCGCTTTCGTCAGACTGGTGAGTACAAACGACGTCCAGGATCTGGGAGACCCCGCGTCACAAGCCAGCGAGATGATCATTTTATTACTCTAACTGCTTTATACGAGACCGAGGAGTAACATCTGCTGTTATCAGTCATCGACTTGAAAATGTATGTGGCACAAGAGTTTCTGGACGAGCTCTTCGCCGTAGATTACACGAACAATGATTGATGTCAAGAAGTCCGGCTGCTTGTCCAGCTTTACAAGCAGCCCATCGTACTCAAGGGTTAAATTTTGCCCATAGAGACTAGAATGACGAAAAGTGGGGATGTGTGCTATTCACTGACGAATCTCGCTTCTGTTTGCGTTCACCCGATGGACGAGAGCGTATATGGCGAAGACGGGGAGAACCATTTTCCGACTGTTGCATTTCTCCAAGAACACCTTTTGGAGGCGGTAGTATCATGGCGTGGGCTGGAATTACACCTCACGCCCGTACTGCCCTGTTTTTTTTATCGAAAATGGCGCTTTAACTGCTAACCGTTATATTGAGGAATGTTTAGCGGTCCACGTTATTCCTTTTGCTCCATTCGTTGGTGAAAATTATTCTTTGATGCACGACAATGCCAGGCCTCATGTCGCAAGAGTTGTCAGTGACTATCTTGATGAAACAAGGATTCAACGATTGGACTGACCTCTACGTAGCCTGTATTCTCGTTCCCGAAAACGCTCACCGCTTTTTAGTCGCTCGGCAATTCAAATGTAAATTTACATATAAAG